TTCAAAGTTCAGGTTTAGCAATCTGAAGTAAGTTAGATGTTAGCACAATGTCTTTAAAACCTGGAACTTGCATATTTTATAGCTACTATCAAAATTTAACCAAAACATTTAATTTGGTCTACTTAATAATACTGTACATATAATTTTGTAACTACTGTTGCCACTTACCAAACACTCTTCGGTTCTGTATGTGGCTGATTTCTTCTCACCCTTCCAACCTACCTCGTCAAAAAGGCCTGGCCTAACAATCCAATCTAATGTAACCCTTTTTTATTCCCTTTACTATTTTACTATACATAGTTTGTTTACTTTTATATACTGTTTTTTTTTTTTAATCGGTACCGGGGATCAAACTCATGACCGCCTGCTTACAAGGCAGGTGCTTATGCCACTGAGCTAAATCCCCAGCCCCTGTTTGTTTACTTTTAACAGTTACCATAATATGTAGTTATCTGCTTTTTTATTTATCATATGTCCCAAAAGAACAGATCAGAATCTTTCTTGCTTTACTGCCACATCCCCATGTCTAACGAGTGCCACTCAATAAATATGTAGAATGATGGTCTGCTGCATAGTATTCAATGAGAAAGCTCTTCTTACACTTTTGAAACTTAAAAAAACAAAGTAAAACAAAACCAACCTTAGAGCTATTATAATCTGGTGCTCTTTTACAAACAAAAAAGAAACCTGAGCTCATGATCCTTTTTGGACTAAGAGTCTGGGACAGTGCCAGGACTGGTCTCCCATCTCCCTGCTTTGCACTCCAGGGGGCTTTCCAAATCAGCCTCTTGCTTCCTTTAGACTCATTTTACTATTCCTACAGGATGTATAAACTGTGCTGAATGCAGGTCAAAAACAAATGTTTGCTTCTTTCCTGTAAAGTGCCTTGTTGTTGTTTCACCAACCACTGTGAAGAAACTCACCAAGGCACTGTGTAAGGTGCTTAGGAGGCTGATGTCATTGCCGTGGGCATGAGAGGAGGAATTCCATTGCAGTCCTGTCCTATTCCACAGCATGGCCAGACAGTCTTTCCTTCACTGCTGACATGACCAAGGCAATTGCCATATTCATTACACTAAATGGATCTAAACCCTGAAAAGTAAATCTATGTGTCCTAACATCTCACACATCCAAAAAAAAAAAGGAATCAACACAGTGAATGCATACTTCAGTAGTCATACTGATTTTCCCCAAAGAGGAACTAAGCTCAAGTGACTAAGAACAAAAAATTGTATAAAAAGCAGGATCACAAAAACAAGTTAAATCCCAATCCCACATCACAAATCTATCAGCAAATGCCTAAGGACTTAGAACTTCCTGATTCAGAATCATTAGCAAGCACACAGGTTCAACCATTATGTCTGATAAGACATTTCTCCTTACAAAAAATAAGAGGCCTTGGTATCTTTCTAAACCCCTGGAATATCTAACTGGTTTACAGGATCAAAATCAAGATGCTTCGCTGCAGCCAGCTATACTCCACCAGCCACAGTACCCAGTTTGAAGACATGGTTCAAAATTCACTTTCTCAGAATCTATGGACAGTGTTATGCTCTATGCCTATCGCCCTACTAACCATGTACCTGGAGCACTGACCACATTGCTATAAATTTGTTGTAAATTAACTGACCGCATCGTCATGCTGTTCTGTATGTGTTGCCCCCCCCCCTTAGTAAACTGTTTGCTGTGCCAACTTTTGTTCCCCTTGTAAGAGACAAATGATGCTGTGTCAACCATTGTTCCCTTTATGAGAGAGAAATGTTCCTGGAATTGGCAGACCAAGGGCTACGAATTGGCTAACCACCCCATTGTGAAATGCCTCTGACCTCAAACAAAGGGGACCAAAGCCCACCTTATTTCTGTTTCTCATCACTATGTACTTAATGATCAATGAGCTAATCTTAAATGAACTATAAAAATCAGTCAAAATTCTAACTCAGTTGCACCGCTTTGCAAATTCCATCTGCACTGTGTCTCTGGGCCAGCTAAAATAAAAGCACTTCTTTTAAAAAAAAGATACCATCTTGCCCCGTTTATCATCTGGGGGTCTTGCCCTGTTTTTCATCATGGGGCCTTGTTTTGGGGGGCAGGTTACAACAGAGTAACAGGACATCTCTATCTAATACTCCAGCACGATGTCAGGTTCATCTCTGGGCCAGGATACTTTATTACTTGGAAGTTATCTGTTTCTTTCTGTATATTTATCCACTGTGTTCAGTGACAGCAAACCTTTTAGAGATAAGTACCCAAACTACAAATCAAAACTCATTACTTATCACAATGCAAACACTGCACTTAAACCTAAATAATGAGGTTTTAGCTTAATAAAAACTCATACCTTAACATCTTTTGTCTTTAAAAAAAAAAAAGCAGAAACAAAACAACAACCAAAAAAAACCCACTGTGCCATAGGTAGTTCAGCACCTCTGATCTAGTCTGTCACTCATAAGACCAAACTGATGGAAAGCAAAGAATGAGCCAATTTAAGTCCCTGTACTAGTCTCTTATGTTCCAACCACAATGACAAAGAGTCTTTGCTCCTGGACATTACGGGGTAATGTAAATTCTTGTCTCTGCAGACCATATTTTACTCCAATCAAGTTTTGTTTTACTTGTTTTGTTTTTTTAGCTAATACATAAAAATGGAACTTGAATATATTCATGCATACCATGTGAAACTGTGATACACATATATATTGTGTAATGTTTAAGGACAGGTAATCATATCTGTTTCCTCATACCAGTCAAGTTTCTTTTGTTAGTTTGTTTTTGAAGATGCGTGTCTCACTATGTTGCCCAGGCTGGGCTCAAAAAATTCTCTTGCCTCTTGCCTCTACCTCTAAGTATCTGCCAGGCATGTGGCAGGTATGTACACAGGCTGTTTCTTAATTACAAACAAGACCCAGAATCACTGGTGTCTACATGCATTTGTGCCCTCGATTTTGTACTTTTAAAAGAGAATACGAGACTGACTTTGTAAGTCAAGCAAGATAATAGTAATTCAAATGCTACAAACTCACATATGGACAAGTTAATGATCCTACTAGTTACAAAGTTTGAAGTATTTACCCAAACATAAGCCAAATGTTATTAAGATTTAATAAATAAATTAGGATTTTTAAAAAATCTGTCCAAATGTATATAGAAAGCAATATTGGGAAATACGAAAATGTATTCTATGTATTCCCAAGAAATGATGCTCTATATAGCTTCCAAAGACTTCTATAAAAACTAAAGTAGAGGTAGATAACTGCAATCCTATCCCATAAATTTTTAAAACATTTATTTGATTATACATTACAATTGCTCTGTACTGTCAGCAACCACACAAATACATCTTTCAAAAGTCAAAATGAAGCTATATATTTAATATTTTGTAGTAAAAACCACTGATATCCTTATAAGGCTTTTTTTTATTAAATTATCTTATTCTTTACCTAATTAGGTAAAAAAAAATTCTAAGTAGTATTTAATGTAATTATCCAAGTCCTCTTAAAATTTTTCTACTCACTTTATTAGCATGCAGGTTTAATAATTACTACAAAAACAAACTCATACCCCATAGAAGGTATGTAGAAAGCAATTCAGACAGCAGTACAAAAGAAGTCATTTGTCATTTAAACAGATACTTTAAATTGTAATTTTTTAAGTTAACACAATGCTAAACTCAGTTGAATTTTTTTGTGAAAGCAAAATTTCCTTATCTTTGCACTAATGTGTTACTCCAAAAATTCTGCCATTGCCAAATGCACAACAGATGCTTACAAAGTGTTTTTAAAATGTACGCCACATAGAAGGGACTCACAATTAGTTGAAGCTCAGATCTCAGCAAGAAGGTAATAGTTTCAGGGGACTGATATATATTATGCATGCATATGCACATATGCACACACACAAACACACACAGAGTTAAGCCACATCACATGTGGCGAATAGGGATGTACTTCAACAGCTGTATCCTATTCTTTAGGATAGCAACCACCTTCAACTCCACCAAAACACTACAGGAGGAGTGGATGAGGGGTGGATGTTCCACACTGTGTGTAATACAGGTCAGTAAGATGGTATGTGTGTTGTACATTCCCTGAAGTCTGATAAATAATTTGAGTATAAATCAGCACCTCCATTTGAGTTACCAATTAATACAGAGACAAAATGAAGGTCCAGGGGGCTAGGGATTTAGCTCAGCGGCATAAGCACCTGCTTTGCAACAGGTGGTCATGAGTTTGAACCCAGGTACCAATTAAAAAAAAAAAAAAACAAAGGTCTAGGCATTTCGAATATGAGAAATATGAATTAAGCTGTCCACTATTGAAAAACATTTTGAAATGCATACCTTTACCAATCGTTTAGATCCTGCAAATTGCTTACTCAAATCAGATTGTCAAGATTATCAATCCTGCCTAAGAAAATTTTTTAAAATCTCCGTATGATACAGTCTCTGAAAATAAACAGAGTAACATAAATAAACTAAAATCTTTCTTTTTTTAGTTTTTTGATGTGGTAAAATTTTGGATTAGACATCTAAATATTTTAATGAAAACAGGGAAATACAAAAGTTATTCCAAAAGCAGTACATGAAGGTATTCATATTCCTTATAACAATTAGCAAACAAATTAATGTAACACATGTAAACAAAGCATTTAATATTTTTACTGATGTTATTTATTGTAACAATAAAAACTTTTTAATAAGAAGTTAATTCATGACTATGTATGTTACTTACATAGACACATTTAAAAGATACAAACTCAAAATGTTGACAACTATGTCGGTATTTCTGATTTAAATAAAATAAGAGTAAATATGTGAGAATAGTAACATGGGAATGCTTTTTTTCACTCATAATATTACTATATTACTTTTTAAATTAAAATGTATTTATTTTGGTTTATGTACATAAACCCATTATACAAGTTAGCTATATTAAATAATACTAAACGAATCCAATTTCTAAATAAAACCACTGTATTGTTTTAAACTTCATAGAAGCACATACCTGAGCCAATCTCTTTTTCCTCTTCTTCAATGTTGTTTTTGATGCTATCATACTCCTCGTCAATGGTCTGGTTACCACGCATCTGAGACAAAATTCTACGCGCCTTCTGAGTCTGTCCTTTTTGAATAAGCCATCGAGGACTTTCAGGCAAGAAGAGAAAACCAAAAAACTGTATAACTGCAGGGATTGCTGCAAGTCCCAACATGTACCTGCAAGAAAGTTCACATTTATTATGAAATTGGTCATAGCACTCAGCATGTGCTTAACACATACCTTTGTTTTTGGACTAAAATAATATCTAATGCTTATTTAGTCAAAAAGTTTTTATTATATATACATATGCATGCAGAAAGGGTATTTTAGCTGTAGTGAAAATTTACAAATCAGAAAACGTTAACACTCTTCTCTTAAACAAATTACACTGAAAAATAACTACAATCATTACATATATACACTGTGAACCCAACCCATTATGTAAACAACATACTGACCACCCCTATGTGATATTACTATACACAATATAATTATGTATTTTACAACATGAAAGCTGAACTGGTTGGGCATTCGCCACAGGCCTATGTGTTCAATGTTTCTGTGCTATTCACAGCTGGTATAACCTTGAAGAGGCAGAGCCTGGCAAGATGTAGTGAGGAGTCTGGGGACTGAGCTCTTGCAGGGGATATAGGGATCCAGCCTCTCCTGCCTCCCTCCTTTCGTTGCCCACCCATCTGAAGTGGGCAGCTTTATCTATGATACGTTCCTCACCATAATGCATTCATTCACTCCAGGCCCCAATGCATCAGGTCCAAGTGACTACGGGCTGAAACTGCCAACACTGAGCCACAACTAACCTTTTCTTTGCATAATTATCTCCGGCATTCTGTCATAATCATGAAGAGCTGACTAAATAACTTATCCAATTAAAAGACACATTTTTTCATAAAACTAGGTGTCCCAACTTGTTTCTTTATAATGAGTACATTTCGCCATTATACATCAGTTTCACCACCACTGATAAGGACGTCTGTACAAACAAGTCAGTAGCAAATAATCCTAATTAAATGGCTAAAAAAAATCAAAAAAGTTGCTCATGTATTCTTAGATTAACCTTCATTTTCTTTAGGAGTCTATCTCTTATGTCTGGCAAAATTACAAATAGCAGATAAAATCATTACAAGACAAAAATAGCAATTATGAGTACAACTATAGCAATCTCCAAATCTCCAAATTATCATGACGTTCACACTGATCTAACATCTCTATGACCCAATCTTCTTTAACTGAAGGGGTTAAATTAGATAACCTTTAAGGTTTTTGCAAATGGAAACTTCTATGGATCTAGGATACCTGGTATCTTCTGTTAATTCAAATTCCCTGGGTGTGTTCATGATGACAAAGCCCAACCAGCCACTTCCATTTATGTAAAAAGGAATATTCACTAACACTTATATCTCCCTGAAAAGCCTCCTGACTTAATGCCCCTTTCAAAGTTATTCCTTTTAGGCTATGGCAAACACAAAATATAGTGTCATTAAAGGCTCCAAAGATACACCTTATCAAGTAAGTCTACTTTCTAGGCAATTTCACTTTAATTCTAAAAACATATATTGTCGTGTGGCTATTAAGAATACCACTACTTACAAACTAAAACAACACGTGGAAAGATTCAGAAAGTAAACAAAGTGCTGATGAATGAATGTGTTTTCTACTTTAATCCATGAGTTGTGATGATTACACTGATAATCATTCTTTTCTCATCCTCAGAACATTTTCTTAACATCAATTTAGTCACTCTTTTAATTCTTGATTTACATCACTGTAACTTATATTGTTATAAATTATTTAACCTGTTCCACTCAATGGCCCAGTACCTAGTAAAGTATCTTGCGTACTGCAGGGACTCGGAAAATGTTTTATGAAATAATATGAAAGCAACTACATTCATCCAAACCTTTCTCCATTAACAACACAGAAAATAACTACTTCAGAATTGTATAGCATCTTATGCATCAACTCTTCTGAATCATTTTGCATCATACTTGCATAGAAATTCTGTCCACCTAAATCATTTATTACTCTAAATACAATTGGACCTTTTCCAGAAGAGTCTTCAGATCAGAGAGGATAGCTCACCGAACAGGTATATATTTCTGGGTTCCCATCCTAACAAGTTAACTTACAGAACAAAATCCATTATTAAAATGAATGTTTTCTTGCTGTGAATGGTTAAAATTTCAATCCAAGTCTCTGGGAGAATTTAAACCAAAGGGGCTAAGGGTATAGCTCACCAGTAGTACACTTGCCCACGGCCCTAGACATGACTCATCAGCACTGCAAAGGAGCCCAGCCTGGGTAACTTAGCAAGACCCATTCAGGAAGGAAAAGTGGGGTTTTGTTTGTTTGTTTGTTTTTAAAGATATGAGGATGTAGATACATTTAAAGACTCTAGGTTCGATCTCTAATATATGTCTATGTGAATGAAAGAGGGGAAGAAATTCATAAAAGACAGATATGGGACTGGAGATTTAGCTCAGCGGCATAATCACCTGCCTGGCAAGCACAAGGTCATGAGTTCAATAACCAAGACAGATTCAAAATATACTGGACAAGGAAATAAAAAAGCCTTGAATATGAAAATCTTCATGTTTCATTTCTCTACTTCATAATTTAAAAGGAAGATTGAAGAGCTTCAGAGCATACTTCAAAAACGCACTTGAAATGAACATGTAAATTGAATCATTTCCAGGCCCAAGAATACTCACATAATACTTTGTACTTTACTCCTGATTATTAAATCTCAGGACACTGTATTTTTTAACAATTTAAAAGAAATAAAGGCAAGTAAAAAGAAAAATGCAAACATACATCTTAGCCTATGCTCCTTAGCTATAGGAGAAAGACTATTTTAGACTTGAAGCCTTTTCAAACAAGTAATCTTCAAAAGCCTACAGTGAAATTTATAATTCTATGCAAAATACCAATGCACAGAAAGGAATCTACACACTGCTGCCAATCTTTAAAGCTAATAAAGCCTCTTTTCAAACACTAGTCAAGAAAAACTATTTTATGCACCTAACACTTCTTTTCCAAGAGTAAAGCAAGCGACTTTATTCTAATTAACTTCCAAGATAAAAATGTTTTGATAGGAATAATTTTCATGGCTTTGTAGCCATCCAGTACATTGGATGGGGGGTCAACTATTATACAGGACAGCAAGAGCAGAAGAACAGATGTGGGTCTCACTTCAGGCCATAGATGGGGTAAGTGTCCCTCACATGCTCATGTGGTAAGCCAGGGTCACAAGGTGGCAGAGAATAAAACTTTGGGTCTTCAGTGAAGAAAGTAATAGACACTTGGGACCCCAACCATTTCTATCCCTGTTTCCTAGGTGCCCACAACATCGAGAGCTTCTCCTGCCACGTGCTCCCATAGACAAAAAAGCATTAAAATCTCTAAAACTGTGGAAAACTAAAGCATTGCTCAGTGTGGCACTACGCACATGTAACCCCAGCTATTCAGAAGGCTGTGGCAGAAGGACCACAAGTTGGAGGACAGGCTGGACAACTTAACAAGACTCTCTCTCAAAATGACAATAAAAAGTGTTAGGGATGTAGCACAGTGATAGAAGCTCACCCATCAAATGCAACCCACTGAGTTCAATCCCAACCACTGCAAAAAACATACAAACATAGATATAGATATGGGAGTCAGCTATAAAAGCATAAATCATTCTTTTTAAATTGATTTTCTCAGTTATTTTGTTACAGTAACAGCTGACCAGTACAGTTCAGATGTAGGATACATATCAAAGCTCTAATCAAGTTACATTTTAACACATAAAAACAGTGTCTATTTCACTGGACTGCCAGAAAAATTAAGTAAAACTTTAAAAAGGAGAAAGGGCTCTGTGAAAGAACTTTGGATTCAATATCCAGTACTGCCAAAAGAAAATGAAATCACAGCCATGCAAATGACAAAAAGCCCTGTGAGAGGGCAGAGCAGGCAGCCTCCAGTGACACAGATAATATTACAAGCTAATCAGGGTTCTAACCCTGGCTTCACATTAGAATCACCTAGGGGGCTTTTAAAATACAGCAGTGTCCAGCCCCCACCCTTCCCTGTGGACTCTGATTAATCTGTCTGGGCTCTGGGCCCAGGGAATTCTATTTCATTAAGAGCTCTCCAGGTGGTGCTAATGTGCAGCAGCCAAGAATAACAGATGTAAATGTTTTAAAACCCAAGTCCTGAAAATGAACAACAGGCACCCAAGGTCCACATCTTAAGGAAAAAGCCACTAATCTTGTAGCCACAAGACAATGTACCAAGCTGACAAATGGAAGGTGAACTGAAGCAAACAAAAGTGCCAAGCTTTCGTGAGTTTTCAAAATCTTTAAAATATTTTTTACTATTACAATCACATACTAGAAGATACTTTGCTAACCCTGAAGTTAACAAATGAGCTATTTTTCTGGCAAAACTACAAGTACACCACTTGCTTACCATAAAACTAAGAACCTTCTAACAGGGCACTACCACAGTCACTCAGGTGCCTCCCACTACACCAAAGGGGGCCTCTGGAGGAGAGACAGGGGACACTTGGGATTCAAAGCTACTTGGGAGGCTGAAGCTGGAAGCCAGGGCAGCACAGTCTGACCCCGTCTCAAAACTAAAAACTAAAAACAGGGTAAGGATGTAGCTCTGTGTGAAGGCTCTGAGTTCATTCCTCAGTTCTGCCATGAATGAATGAGAAAGAAATCAGTGGTAGAGTCTTACCTGTATGAGGAAGCCTTGGGTTCAACCTCCAACACAGCAAAAATCAAACGAACAGAGAAGAAAACAAGTACTTCACTGAACTGAACAATCGCTGTCACGCCTGCTTTAAAGGAATTATACTGCTCCCATTTATGTAATTTACATGTGGCCACTTAAGGAACAAAATTCTGCAGTCATGATAAGTCACCTTCTCTGAACTGGTAACAGGGATCACTTCACATGTTTTTCTGTAGCAGTTCCAGAAAGGTGATAATTATGTTCTAAATACATGAAAATTACCTTCAATGTAGAGCTCAGTTCATACATACAATCATTTTAAAATAACACAGTACCAGTTACTATGTCCCCAGCTCTGTCTAAAAGGACTTCAGATCTATTAACACCTATTATCTTCACTACAATCCTAACAGGTGTTTACCACTGTTACTCCATTTTA